CTCTCTCTCTCTCTCTCTCTCTCTCTCTCTCTCTCTCTCTCTCTCTCTCTCCCTCTCTCCGTCTCTATAATTCTCCCTTTCTAATCCCCTCTCCCCCTCCTCTACGCGCACACTGTTGCTGCCCATTTTGCTGTTGTCTTTCGCGCTTGGCACGCGAAACGACGACGGCGCAGACGAACTTCCCAACCCCAAGCGCATCAGGAGGGGGGGCGACCTCCACGAGTCGTTGTGCGAAGTCGTCGACCCCCCAGGGCACCCCCCTCCAGGAGTTTCGTCGCCGGGGCCCCCACGCGGGTCCGGAGGGAGCGGTGAGCAGTGGCTGACACGCCGGAAAGACAAGGCGCCTGGAAAACCTTCGACTCCGAGCATGGCCACACCAGCAACAGCTATGAGTGTGGCCACAGCAGGCGTGAGTACGCCCACATCAGCAACAACAGCTGCGAGTACGCCCACAGCAGAAACAGCTGCTGTGAGTACGCCCACGGCAGCAACAACAGCGGCACAAGAAGAAGTAAATTATGGGGAGGGGCTCTTCGCGGAGATTGACCTTTCTCTGGAGGACGAGTCGACCACCGTGTCGCAGACCCGATCACCACACAAAGACGCTGCTGTCTCTACCGCCGAAGAAGCCCATCGGACGCCACCGCCGAGTCGGAACATCGCCGCGCGGACCCACGCTGCAGCAGGCGGAGGCCCCGGCGTTGACATCGCCGCAGCCGGTGCTGGTGGTGGTGGTAACGAGGTCGATTTCGAGGTGGAGGCTTGGACGCCGTCTTCGCCGCGCTCGGATGTGTCGCCGGAGGTGAGTCCGCGGGACTTCACAACAACTGCCATCCGTCGGGATGCCTTCTTGTCCTTGCCCATGCCGCGCACTATGCACCCGATTATGGTGGCGAATATGTACGCACTTCTCCGGTTTGCACTGTTCCAATCGGTGATGTGGCTAGCCACAAGGTGCCTGCGGAGAACGGCTCGGCGTACTCCAGGACGCATAAGGGCGCACCTGACGGCAATAGTATCTCGAGGCTGAATCGGACACGCACAGCACACGGACCACGGCGAACGGTACCCAGACCCGCGCAAGCGAGGGCCGACTTTTGCGTGCCTTAACACCAATTCGTTGTCCCGACCCTATTCCGTTGGCCCCCGTTTCAATGTTCAATTCATTCTGCTGAACCCCCCCCCACCCCACCCACCCCCGGCCGTTTCCGTCGGCCATGTCGCTGTATGTTTTTTCCTTGGACCCCCGGAGGTCAGATGGCGGTGGACGCCAAGGACTTCGGCAACGTGGCGAGATTCATGAACCACAGCTGCGACGGAAACCTGGTGAAGAAGGTGAACGGATGGATGACGGCTCTCCCGCCCGTACGCGGTATATCCCCGTTTCCCCCCTTTTCCGTGACACAGGCGGGGGCCCGACAGAAAAAAGAGGGGCGATGACAATTCCTCTCAAGCAAAGGTTGTGTTGTCACTTAACACGAAAGCAGAGGGGCAAGCATGCTGTTTGTTCTTGTGGGCTCCTTGCCTTTTGAGATTACAGGAGAGATATGGTACGGTGTAGGCCAGAACAGATTTTTGTGTGACATGGACAACAAACAACGCGCATATGCCGTCCTACCCCTTCGTTGCCATCGAGCACGTTGCGGTTATTTAGCTACAGAACGCGCCACAACGTGACAGCTTCGAGTTAGGGAAATCCACTTTCACAAAATGAGACGTTTAATGACTTGGCCAAAATAAGTTTAAGAACTTGGCCATAAGAACAGGTGCCCAGTTAACGAAACCTGTTAGACCCTACACTGAAACCTATAAGGTGGGTTAAACCCCGAAGGAAAAATGAACGAGCCTCGCAAGATCGTGAAAATAGGTTCTTGAGTGGTGTCGCTCTCTACATCCAAAGTTTTTTCCCTGTTGGGGGTACTGTTGTCGCTTTTGTGTTCGGACGAGAGATGCTCTTTCTGCCCTCTGGCTCGGGTTGCTCGGAACAATACCTTTGATGTTCTGTAGGCCCGCTTCTCGATACCGATAAGAGGCCATTTCGAGAATTGACTATCCGATAACCATGCACAGTGCAAGAGATTTATTTGCATTGTCTTCGTCATTTTACAAGGCGGACCTTGCACGCACTTTCAGCAACTCAGCAGCGAAGCAAGTCACCCCCGCGCAAATCAACACAGGCTTATTTGCGGTACGATTTTTTTTTTTCGGCAGATGGTTTTCGTCGAGGGCCACGACTTTCGCATCCCGCGGGTGGCGTTCTTCTCTCTCGAGAAGATACAGGCGTACGAGGTAAGTGGGGTCCAGAAAAGGTGGAGGTGGTGAGCGGCTTGATTGTTCTCTCTCTCTCTCTCTCTCTCTCTCTCTCTCTCTCTCTCTTTCTCTTTCTCTTTCTCTCTCTCTCTCTTTCTCTCTCTCTCTCTCTCTCTCACTTTCTCTCTCTCTTTCTCTCTCTTTCTCTCTCTCTTTCTCTCTTTCTCTCTCTCTCTCTCTCTCTCACTTTCTCTCTCTCTTTCTCTCTCTTTCTCTCTCTCTTTCTCTCTTTCTCTCTCTCTCTCTCTCTCTCACTTTCTCTCTCTCTTTCTCTCTCTTTCTCTCTCTCTTTCTCTCTTTCTCTCTCTCTCTCTCTCTCTCACTTTCTCTCTCTCTTTCTCTCTCTTTCTCTCTCTCTTTCTCTCTTTCTCTCTCTCTCTCTCTCTCTCACTTTCTCTCTCTCTTTCTCTCTCTTTCTCTCTCTCTTTCTCTCTTTCTCTCTCTCTCTCTCTCTCCCTCTCCCTCTCCCTCTCTCTCTCTCTCTCGCACTCTCTCTCTCTCTCTCTCACGCGCGCGTTTGCGGCTTTTTCAACCACGGCCTTCGACATCTCAGAGTAGAAAATGTCGTAAGCCTCTCGGGCTGAAAAGACAGGCATAGCGCGGGGTGGTCGGTGCAGACGGCGTTGGCAGGCAGGAGACAGCAGGACGCTATGTCCCGCGGGTGTTGTTGTGCATGGTTGTTGTTGCTGTTGTTGTGGTGGTGGTGGTGGTGGTTTCTGGTATTGTTATTGTTGTCGTTTTTGTTGTTGCTGCTGCTGTAGCTGCTGCTGTCGTTGATGTTTGTGGTGGTGGTGATGGTGGGGCGGCTGTTTCATGGTGGTCGTCGTGTTGTCCACGTAGAGAGCCCAAATTTCGACAGGGCTTCAAGAAGCATTCGCATAACCAGACACTCCGCACCACTGCGAGATTAGCGAGACGTTGTTGCTATCGTCCGGCGACCGCCGCCATTCAAAGCGATTTGGATGCGTAGTAGACGGCGTTGCGGTGCACCTGAAGTGACGATACAGCCGGCGTGTCACAAAAGCATGGCCATGAAGCATACCCTCGATACCGCTTCAGGCGACGCCATACGTGGAGGATGAGAACGCAGTATATTCGAGCAACTGCGCAACGTGCGGAAGGTAATTGGGCGCAAATTAACCGGTGCATTCGGTGCAATGCAGCCAAACCCCATGCGGTAACAATCGCCGTGATGCACGCGCCCCCGCACCTGAGTCATCCTTGTGAAACGTAGCCTGGGCCGGCGAAAATCGCTCCGTCTCGGGGTGTAGGGGCCGAGGTCCATACGACTACGATGCGTTTACATTAGTACACCCCCACCCCCGCCCACACGAAACAGGAGCTTACGTACGACTACAACTACAAGGTCGGTTCGGTGGAGGGGAAGAGCCTGGCTTGCCGCTGCGGGGCCCCGACTTGCCGCGGGATGCTGCTTTGAAACCCCAGTCAAGCCGGCACGCTCTCCTTTCCGTGTTTTGACGGGAAGGGATGGACTGTTGATTCCCACTACCGTCACGTTGCGAGACGTTTGATAAAGGTTGTTTGTTATTGTTGTTGTTGGTGTTAATGCTATTGTTGTGTTCCGTTGAGAAAACCGTTCCGATCTCTGGTCAGTACCGTCGAACATCCGTAACGGTCCGACTGACTCCGGAGCAGGGTGTGGTCACAGGCCAACGGCAAGAGGCGGCGAGAAGTCACCCCCCCCTAGACAGATTTCAAAGCTCGATTACTCCATAACCAAGATTGTTCCAACACCAACATTATTGATTTGAGAACCACTCCGTCGAGGGCATTCCGTACACGTATCGGGTTCCTTCCGCATCGAGCTTTGAAAGTCGGCATTGGCGGGGTGCCATCTCCCGTCCTCTTGCGGTACCCCCAACAAGGGTACAAGTTTGCGCTACCAAGACTCAAAGAGATTTTAAATAGGTTGTGTTGTTTGATATTGAGCCCTTCGGTGTTATCGTCGTTGTTGTCTCGACATGTAACGGTTCTCTCGTCTCGAGAGCATCCCTCCCGCACGGTGTATTGTACAGTAGACAAGTGTGGTTTTTGTCTCCAGTGGGGTGGCGCCTGACTTTGCACCGCTAGATAGGAAGTGTCTTATTAACCGTTAAATACGTTTGGTTGATAGTGTGCGGGGGTTGGTTCGAAGGTCTCATGAGAAGGCAAGGCACCAACGCCGTAGTCTAGTGTATTTACGCGAAAAGTACACGCACAGATCGTTATTTGAGTTTTAGTTGCGTCTGATTAGGTTGTGTGAAGTTGCTATAACTGACGCTGGGGGGGAGATAAATAGGCGAGAATGGTAGCGATATGTGTGTGTGTGTGTGCCCTACCTTGGGCGCCAGATTATGGGGTTTCCTACGCGTTTCTCGGGCGTTCGTAGAGGCGGGGCCAGCTGGCAAGGACGAGAGGCGACGTCACAATGTTTTGTTCCAGGTCCCGTCTGTTGCGGCCGCCGGCCTATACCTTCGGTGTGTATGTTTGCCCGGGGCCACACAGAGAGGAGGATTTTACGTTTCCTCCTACGTACGGCCTTCCGGGAGGAGTCCTCTGCGTTTACTCCAACGAAGCTTGCCTTCAATTACAGCAGTATCGCGAGAAGGGTTCAGCCGTCCCCTTTCCCTGCTGTTGTCTGTGGAGAAGACTTGTCGGGTTTCTCGCCTACAGTCGGCCGTGATCACATGAAGGAACGGCTTGATAGAGATGCGTGTTTTGTTTGGATGGGGGTCGAGTTTGGCGTGTTGTGTATCACCCCCCCC